ACCATGAGCTTTAATCGTACCTCTGCTAAAAGCTATGTATGGATCCTGCGCTCCACTACATGCTTCCCAAACTATTCCACTTCCTGACTACTCTGGGCTGAAGAAATACTTCCTAACATCCCTTTGATTCATCTGTGTCTTCAGCTTCCGAACTGTTCCCCGTGTTGCTGTGTCCATCCTCTGGAACATCCTTTCTTTGTCCACCTTGTCACTTCCTCCTCAGTATTTTGTAAGTTCGTTATCATGTCCCCCCTATCTCCCTGTCCTCCAGTGTCGTCATGTTGATTTCCTTTAACCTCTCATCATATGACATAACTCTTAACCTCTGGGACAAGTCTTGTTGCAACCTTTGCACTTCTCTATTTCCTTTACATGCATGGCTAGTGTGTGTGTGTGTGTACGTACTCCCTAATTGTACTCACCTATTGTGGTTGCAGGGGTCGAGACTCACTCCTGGCCCCGCCTCATCACTGATCATGTGTGTGTGTGTGTGTGTGTGGTGTGTGTGTGTGTGTTGTGTGTGTGTGTGTGTGTGTGGTGTGTTGTGTGTGTGTGTGTGTGTGTGTGTGTGCCGCGCGCAACTCTTGTGTGTGTGGGTGTGTGTGTTTAATTGATACAGGACTAACAATAACTCAATATATCTTTTGCAATGCTATTATAATCAGACATACATAATAATAATCAGTTAAGAAAACCATAGGTTGCATTAACAATAGCTTGGATGGAATCATTTTCCAGCAAACCATACACTGAACTTAAAGCATGTTTGTCTGATTAATAATAAACTGGCCTGAGTTCTTTTATAAACCAGTATGTCTTTATAGTCCTACTTAAAGAGAAATATTACAGTTATAATTGGGTATAAATGACTGTTGGAGTCAGGCCCTAAGGAATACACCTTCCATGTTATCTGATTGTTGGGTTAAGGGAATCCGTGTATTAAAAAAAAGTCAAATCCTTATCTTTTACTGTATATTCAGAGTCTTTGAAAGGTGACAATAGCATTTCTTTTTTTCTGAATATCCAAATTTGATCTCAAGTCTTGTCATATTCTCTTAACTGCACTCTAATCATGTAAAATTAATATATTTCACTAAGAATAAAGCTGTTATTGGCTGGAGTTCTGTTTGTTATACAGTCAAAATGCCTTCCAAATGAACAGCAATGTGACAAATCCCAAGAAATTCTTACCCTAACTCCCAGAAAGAGATGCAGTTTTTCAATGTTGTCTCGTGGTGACATGATGTACCAGTGTAAAGACATAATAACTGATAAGAAAAAGATAAATCTTCAACTTCAAGCCAAGAATGATGGTTAATACTATGCAATTTGACTGTAAATGCTGTTTATGGCCTACTACTCCCACTGTGGCCCCCAAGAAGGTATCTTATAATAAAAATGTGTTAATTACAACACTAAACTACAAGTTGTGAAAAATAAACCTGTAAAATATCACCAGCAATATAAAGTTTGTGAACTTTCAAGATAATGCAAACTCTAGAACTTACTTGCCACTGCGCAGCACACTTTCTCAACTCTCAATGGATTAAACAGATTAGCACAACCATTTGCCTGTGTGGGTAAGGCCATCCTCGTGTTCACAATACCAAAGTTTTTATCAGGCTGGAGAGTAGGACAGTGCACTAACAAAGAGTCCAGTCCCTCCCCCCGTCAGTTGTAACACCCACTAACATCAACATTTCTTAAATAATCAAGGATCTCTGGCAAACAGCAAAGCCCAGGAGACCTTCGTCTGTGACTCGACCAAGCAGCCACTGAGATTGAGACTTACAAGTTTGCATATGGTGGTGACCAATTATTTTGGCATGGGTTAACAGTATAGTGAAGCCTGGAAGTGGATAGGCCTGTTTTCCTACAATATCAACCCTGATGGTACCACACCCACAGAAGCAGAATTCTTAGTATAGACAACAGATCTCCTCGCTATCGCCTCTCCAACTGAGGGATATGGAAAATTAGACTTTGTTGTTGTTTGTGAAAGTAGAGAGTAGTCACTGGCTCTGAGAATAGTCTTTAGTAAGATGCTATTGAATTTACTCATTAATCTAAAAACATTAATCTGCTCCTTTGAAATTTGGCATGGAGTATCTACAGAGTAAAGGTAAATTTCACATGATTACCTGTAGAGTAGCTGTTATTCCATAAAGGTCAGACTCCTACATTAGACATTGGAAGACTGTCCACTGCCTACACTAACAAAAATAATCTTACAAGAACCGGTACACGTTCCTGTTCCCCCATCCACTGTTCCCCCCACACTTCCTTAACCATATACCAACATCATAAGTTATTTCTCAGGCACTGTCATGGACACTCACTGAAGTACTGTGTGGAAAATTTAATACATTACCACTCAGGCACTGAGCTGAATCTAGCACACTGTGCCAAGTACTCTAAGGCAATATCACATTCATCTCAGCAACCTTGAAATTTAAAATCCTGAAAGTTTCTGCAGGACTTCCTCCTTGAAGCCACAATCCTGAAAATAATTTAAAACTTAGACAAATGACTTTAAAAATATCCTGCAATAAAAAGTAACATTACCAAAATTTACTTTTTTTTTTTTTTAACCACATCGTCCGTCTCCCAACGCGAACAGCAAGTGGCCCAAAAATAAATACAATAATAATAATAAAATCTTTATTTACTACAAGTACATTGCAAGGTTCTAGGTAGTAGTTATGGTGTATACAGCAAACAACCGCCCAGGTAGGTACATACGCGTCCTGCCAAGTGAGTGTAAAACTAAAGCACTTAATTGTATTTAACAATGATGGGAGGATTGCTGGTGTCCTTTTTTCAGTCTTCATAACATGCAAGATTTCAGGTACGTCCTTGCTAACATCTACTTACACTTAGGTCACACTAACACATGCATTTAAAAGCATATTATAATGTAAATATACACATCCCTCCGGGTTTTCTTTCTATTTTCTTCTAGTTCTTGTTGTTGTATGATATCCTCTTAACTCCATGGGAAGTTTTAACAGAATTCTTCCGTCCGAAAGCCAAGCGGTAGTAAAGGGCTACTAAAATGCCAGGTGAAGGTCTAATATCCCCTTCACCACCCGTATAAAGTTACTAAATTTGAAAAAGAAACTTCGTTATTCTTTTTGGGGCCCCCTGCCTTGGTTGGGATAAACGGCCGGGATTTGTTGAAAAAAAAAAAAAAAAAAAAAAAAAAAAAAATAAAAAAAACATTGCAGTCATTAGGTATACAGGCCATAGCTGACATCAGTGACATACGACTATATAAAAGCCCCTTGTTATGCAGAACATTTTCGGGCAAATTAGGTTCATTGTCCCAGGAAAGCAACCACACCAGTTGAATAACTACCAGGTACCACCATGTTTACTGATGCGGAACATAGACAACAGGTGGAAAGAAACACGCCCAATGTTTCTACTCATGTCTGGAAATTGAACCCAGGCCCTCGCCGTGTGAAGCGAGAGCTTTTAAACCACCAGTCACCATCATTCATACATAATCACTGTCTTAGCAGAGTCAACCCCAAATATGACACGCTTTGAGGTGTCCTCCAAACAGCCCAATATCCAACCCCCCCCCCCCGCCTTTAAAGTGCAGGCATTATGCTATCCCACGCTCCGAGGACTCAAAATCCAGCTAACCAGTTTTCACGAATCCCTTCACAAAATTTTACCCCATGCACATACACCAACAGCTCAAAGTCCCAAACCACATATCAATCTCCATTTCACTCCATCTCACAAGGCCACACATTGCCTGCTGAAGTCCAAGGACCCCCTATGTCACACAAAACCTCTTTAAATAACCGCTTCCCTCCCCTTTCCTATACGACCCCTAAAACCCACCCCCTACTACAGATTTATACACCTCCCAATACATTCTTATTTTGCTCCATTCCTCTCTAGATGACCAAACCACCTCAATAACCCCTCTTTCAGCCCTCTGAATAATACTTTTTTGTAACTTCCATACCTCCTAATAAAATTTCCAGTCATACAAAATTCTCTGCCTAATAATTAACACCCCACATTGCCCTTAGACACAACATCTCCACGTCCCAGTCTCCTCCTCAACTGTAGCATTCACAACCCATGCCTTCATACCCCAACAAGAATTTGAAGCCAGGACAATCTCTTGTACATTCCCTTCTTTGTGCCTCCAGATAAATATTTTTTATCTCCACAGACACCTCAAAGCACCACTCACCTGTTCTTTTCCTTCAACACTTGCTATGGATAAGCCTCATGCATTTATAAACCATCAGCTGAAGAATCTACTCTCAAATAACAGAAACAACATATCACTCTATTCCATACACACTATCCCTCCAATGTGATATCCAATTTTCTTTACCTAACACATTACTGATACCCCTATCACCTACAACTTGTCTATTTTCACTTTCAAAACGATTTTTTCTATTACCACACCCGCCCAAAAATCATCCACTAACCTTAGCAACTTCTCTTTAGCATCTCCCAAAAAGCATGGTAATCATCATGCTAAAAGTCAATTGTGTCGACACACCATTAGTATTTGATATACCCATAAATTAATCCTACCCCCTCACCCCAACACCTACATTTACTTTCTTACTTCTACATTCAACAAACCGCCGTAACCACACCGTGGCAGGGTGGGCCTAATAAGAAAAACAAAACTTCTCTTTGTTAAATTAGTAATTAATACAGGAAAAATGGTACTTAGTTCTTGCTTGCGGCTATAAAGTCTGCTTCTTATTACTCTCATGGCTTACGGAGGAAGAATTCTGTTCCACTTCCCTTGGAGATAAGAGTGAATAACAAAGAACAAGGAACTAGTAAGGTAATAAAGAAAAACCCAGAGGGGTGTGTAAATATGATGCTTTGTACATGTATTTGTGTAGTTGAAACCTAATTAAGTAGAAATAGCAAGATGTACCTGAAAATCTTGCCATGTTTAATAAGAACAGGAAAAAAAGACACCAGTAATCCAACCATTATGATAACAACAATTACAGGTGTTCCCGGTTAGACACTCACCTGGCAGGAAGGTATACCTCCCTGAGGTGGTTTTACTGTCACACACAACCAGCTACCTACCAAGCATTTACCTATTTCTCTTTCAACAAACCTGTGCCATATCCCCACTGAGGTAGATGGCCCAAAAGGAAAAACAAAAGTTTCTCTTTTTAACTTTAGTAATGTATACAGGAGAAGGGTTACTAGCCCCTTGCTCCCGGGATGTTAGTTGCCTCTTACGAAATGCATGACTTACCGAGGAAGAATGTTGTTCCACTTCCCCATGGAGATAAGAGGAAATAAACAAGAACTAGTAAGAAAATAGAAGAAAATCCAGAGGGGCATGTGTTTATATTTTTTTTTTTTTTCAACAAACCGGCCGTATCCCACCAAGGCAGGGTGGCCCAAAAAGAAAAACAAGTTTCTCTTTTTAAATTTAGTAATTTATACAAGAGAAGGGGTTACTAGCCCGTTGCCCCCGGCATTTTAGTCGCCTCTTACAACACACATGGCCTACGGAGGAAGAATTCCGTTCCACTTCCCCATGGACATAAAAGGAAATAAAGAAGAACAATAACTAGAAAGAAAATCAGCATAAAACCCAATGGGAGTAGTATATATAAAAACGCTTGTACAAGTAAGTGTAAGTGTGACCTATTGAAGTAGAAGTACAAGACGTAACCAGAAACCTTGCAAATTGTTTAACGAGACAGAAAAAATGGACACCAGCAATTACTACCATCAGATGTAAAACAAATACAGGTTTCCGTTATACACTCACCGCTGCAGGTGGTAGTACCTCCCAGGGTGGTTGCTGTCAACCATCACTACAACCTACCTAGCATTTATTACACTTTTATCTTTTTTCAAAAACCAAAACACACACACACACCACTGAGGCAGGGTGGCCCAAAAAGGAAAAACAAAAGTTTTCTCTTTTTTAAACTTTTAAGTAATGTATACAGAGGGTACTAGCCCCTTTGCTTCCTAGTAAATTTAAGATTGCCTCTTAACGAACGCATGACTTACCCGAAGGAAGAATATGTTTGTTCTCACTTCCCCATGGGATAAAGAGTGGAAATAACAAGAACTAGTACGAAAAAAAGAAAACCAAGGTAGGTAGGTAGGACATAGGTGTAGTGGCATAGGGTGCATAGGTTGTAGGTGGTTGTGTGCGTGTGTGTGTGTCTGTGCATGTGCATGTTTGTGCCAGGGCATGTGTGATGTGTGTGGTGTGTGTTTGTGTGTGTGTGTGTGTGTTTTGGAGATGTTTGTGTGTGTGGGTGTTGCGTGTGTGTGAGTGTGTGTCGTGTGTTTTTGTGTGTGTGTGTGTGTGTGTGTGTGTGTGTGCGTGTGTGGTGGTGTGGTGTGTGTGTATGTGTAAATATATATATATATAATAACAGTGGACCCCACATGTAACTAACGATTTTAATCCGTGCTAAGAGGCTCATCGTTATGCGAAATAATCGTTTTATGCGAATGAATTTTCCCCCATAAGAAAGTAATAGGAAATAAAATTTAATCCGAGTGAAGACGCCCCCCAAAGTAAGAAAAAAAAATTCTTTTATTACCACATGAAATGTTAATTTAATACACACAAACTCGAAGTAAAGGGCATGCACAATTAAATGACACTTACTTTTACTTAAGATCTGGTGATGATTTGATGGGTATGGAGGCAGGTGATAGAGAGGTTAGTAGTTTAGAAGGGATCCCCTACCATAGGACTTGCAGGTTTAAGTAAGTCCCTTTGCTGGGTTACATCCCTTCTTCTATAATGGCCACTAGTGCCAGCTTCAGAGTCACTGACTTCGTTTCCCAGCAGAGATATCAGTCCATAGTGGACTGTACCTCTCGTTCCTTTATGATGACTTGCCTAAAGTGTTTCACACACACTTTGTCAGTGTAAGTACTCACCGACGCACTGCTTGGCAATAGCTGAGTGAGGGATTTTTACATCCGAATGAAGTATAGCACATCAAGCCACTTTCCAGATTTCCTTAATCTTTGAATGTAGGCAACTTCTTCAATTTTCTCTCTTCTCTCCCCTCCATCCGACAGCAATTTCCTCAGTGTGGCCCTCTTTCTGCTTGAATGTTTGACATCTAGTCAGCTCATCAGTGAGTAGTTTTCATTATCCTCACTCCACACCAACACTTCCACATCCTCCCCACTAACCTCCAACCCAAGACGTTCCCAATGCCACAATGGATTCCACAAACTGGGCACAGGATTCTCAAGGTTAGCCTCAAACCCTTAAAATCCCTTTTGTCTACACTTACTGGCCACAAGTATTCTTCCAAGCAAGTTCAAGGTCCCTCTTTGTCACTTCCACCCAATCCATACCTATAAATGTTTACACAATTAGAGGATATTAACGTGATTCTCTCCAAAACACTCTTAGATTCCAGATAGTTTCTGATGTCATTACAAAGCACCTTTCAAACAGAGCTTTATGTTACAGTTCATCTTGAAGTTGGAAAAACC